GTACAAGGTAACAATGAGGGGTATAAAGGGATGTTATGTTTCAGCACTTGGGTATAGCGGAGGCGCTAGCGATTCGTCAGTGTAACTATAAACAGTGCTTCTCAAACTCACTCCTTTGGGACAGATTTTTAATGTATCAGGCGAACAGCCACATACATTGTGTATGGGCTGATTATATTACAAGGTGCACATATATCAGCATGGGCAGGTGAAGCGGGACTCAAACCCGTAGACTGAAAACTGAGTGATTCAGCCAATAAGCCACAATTTTTTTTACACACACAGTGTGTGTAGGAAAGGTTAGTTTAGTTTCCCATTCTACCATAGTCTTACTCTTTTCTGTTTGTCTCCTGCTATTTTTAGTAACTGGTTCACTTTTATCAAATTAGAAGGTCAAAAGTCATCAAAACAATTAACTAATGCATGTTAGCAACAAGATATCTAAGTCTTGAAGGGGGAGGGGGTTAAAATTAATCAGTTACAGAATTCAAGATAAGTTAATTCCTGTCTGAACTACAGGAGGAACGGACGAGGATGCCAAATCGAGAATCGGGAAGGCGAGAAACACATTCATCAACCTGAAACCAATCTGGAAATCTTCGTCACTCAGCCTGCATCAACAACAAAATTCGGATTTTCAATACAAACGTCAAGTCAGTTTTGTTATACGGATCAGAAATTTGGCGGGTCACAAAGAATATTTCCAACAGGTTGCAGACCTTTATCAACAACTGTCTTCGTTCTATACTCAAGATCAGATGGCCGGAAAGAAAAACCAACAGGAAACTATGGGAACAAACAAAACAAGAACTAATCGCCCAACAAATATCCAGGAGAAAGTGGAGGTGGATTGGACACTCACTGAGTAGGCCGCTGGGTGACATCGCGCGTCAGGCCAATGCTCGAGTGGAACCCGAAAGGGAATTGGCGAGTGGGACGTCCAAGGGTGACATGGAGGAGATCGTGTGAAGAGGAACTGAAACAGTATGGATTAACATGGATGCAAGTGAAAAGTACGGCAGAAGCAAGTGGAGGCGTGCAGTTGAAGCCCTATGTTCCACAAGGAACCCAAGGGAACAATAATAATAATAATTCGTAAGGGCTAGCAACAAGAAACTATATAATCAAGAAATTTGTAGAATAAAGATGACTAAGCAGAAATACGTAAGAATACAAAGATATAAACAAGTTAAGTGAATTAGATAGAATTGTAAACATAATAACATAACAAAGTTGAAAGATGAGATAGTTACAAGAGGAGTGGAAAATTGTTTGTGAAACACAATACTTATTTTGTGGTGAAAATATTCATTTAGAAAAAACAAAAGAACACTGAGCAGAAAATATCCTTTTCGATAACTTCGTTTTCTAGCTCTACAATTCCACATATGTTTATATATATCCACCTATTTGACTGCTCCTGTAAAGCCAGCTACATAGGTTGTACAATTAGGTGTGTTTCTCGTCGGATTTCCGAACATCATCCTGCTTAGTGGTTAAGTAAAGGACAAACAAAATCCATTCATAGCGCTATTCTATCTCATCTTGTGGATACAGAACACAACACTGATGTTAAAGAGGATTTGAAAGTCATTTACCACATACCAACTAATCTTAACGTTACCTTACGAGTTCGTCTGTTACATATTTCCGAGACGCCCAGAATTCACATGTAGAAGCGTAACTTAACGTATCGAAAAGAAGTTGGTTCAGAAGTCTTTTTCCTTATCTTGGACAGTTATGTTTCAAATATCCTTAATATGTTGCATACATTTTATCTGCTGAGGCCGTTGGGATCCACATTAAGAAACCTAATGTATGTCTCCAAAAAGAGCTAGTTCAGATACCATCCTTACCTTGCCCATCAAAGTTCTAATGACCCACAATTTTTGTAGAAATTTCCTCAAATTAATTTGATATTCTATCAGCTGTCACATTTTTGTGCTTATTAGAATTTATGCATCATTCGTCAACTGCAAATTAATTGGTCTTACTTAACAAATCGATATTATTCAAAAGACACCAATATTGTCAATGAAGACTATTCTAGAATATTCTATGTATATAAACATATTATATAGATGGTCACGTTAAATAAGGAGGTTGTACAAATTCCTTTTCAGCACACAGATTTGACTTTTTCATCCGATTGCCTCGACTGTATAAAAAGTCGTACTCATAGAACATGCGAAAGGTTAGGCGAAATGTGATAAGTAACTTTAAAAGCTTTGTTAGAGTCAACCTAATTTCCAGTTTCGACGAGATTAGCTAGTATTAAACTGCATATAGCTTCGTTCGGACGTTTCCTAAACCAAGTTGGGAAATCCGACGATAATTTTGCCTGACTGTATTATTATTGTTGTTCCCTTGGGTTATTAATGGAACATAGAGCTTCAACACCACATATCCGCTTTATTCTATTTTCTGCTGTCCTCTTTAGTTGGGCCGATGATCACCCATAATCTCATATCTCCTCTCACGATCCTCACCATGTCACCCTCGGACAGACACACGCCCAACTCATCGTTTCTCATTCGGGTTCCACTAGATTGATGGCCTACAATGCGCGCAATGTCATACATCCGTCTCCTCCATTTTCTCCTACATATTTGTTGAACGATAGATCCTTCGTTAGTTTGTTCCCATAGTTTCTTACTGCTAATTTTTTCTGGCCATCTGGTCTTCAGTATAGAGCGAAGGTGTGGGGTTAGGGACCCTACGCCAGAAAATCAATCAAACTACCACAGAAACTTCAACGCACAAGAAAAATATTAAAAGTACAAAACAATAAAAACCAAACCTTTTCTTCTCCAGAAACGGAAAGCGAAATAACGCGGACTGATGACAGCCTTCAAGAAGCCAGTCAGCCGATGAAAGCAAGAATTAAGAATGGGGATGTGGAATGTCCATAGAATGTACGAAGCTGGGAAGGCTGTCAAGGTAACTAAAGAAATACCTGACTGTAAACTTATTGTATAACTAGCACCATAGGAGCAGTTAAACTGGTAAATTCACTTAGAGGAGGCCAAACATGGCAGTCTGTCTTTATTTATTGAACCCAGCATTGATTGGCTAATGAATAAAAGTCCCCTCAGATGTTGTAATGAAATTTCACAATTAACACCTCTCCTCTCATGAATGGTAACCTTAGAAACATGGATTTTTTCAGAACTGTGGGAACTCTGGTCTGACCTACTTAACCACTTGATTGGTACAATTTCGATATTAAAAAATTATACATTGATGTAAAGCCGATGATGAGGAACTAATTGAGAAAGGAATATAATTCTTCGTCCAAGTCGTTGTTTATTTTCTTCACATTTTTCCTGATTATTTTTCCCTTGGGTTCTGAGTGGAATACACAGCTTCAAAAGCACACCTGCAGTTTGTTCTATTCTCTGCATTCAGTAATTCTTACTGGCCGTCTGATCTTCAGTATAAAGCCGCCGAAGGCAGATATTCATAAAAGTTTGAAGTAGCCCCGTTGGAAATGTTTTTCGTAACACTAAGTGAAAGTTTTTGACCTACATAGAATAACTGACTGATTTCACATTGGTGTTGAATATCCTGATTTTGTTGATTACACTGAGTGCACAAGAGGTTTTCATACTGATTTTCAATCTCTACAGAAGACATTTCCAACAGCCCCTCTACGTATCACATTCTCCTGCAGACAGTTAATCCAGTCTAATGCTAAGGACAAGATACCGCTTTTGGCCACTTCAATGTGTATTTATCAATTTACTTGCTTGTGTGGAGCAAAGTATATCGGCCGTACGCAACGTCAAGTCCACAAACGTATTCTGGAACACTGTCCAGCTTGGTTATCCAGAGGAGAAAATAAGAATAGCAACAGCTCGATCCTCGAACACCTTGTCATCTCTGGACATCGAGCACCCCCACATGAATGCTTCACAGTGTTACACAGAGTTCCTCAATATCGTACAACGGGACTTCGGATACACCATCTGTACATAGTTGAAGCATTAGCTGTTCGAGATCTGAAACCTGACCTCTGCATACAAAAGCGATACATACATTCTCTTGCCCCACTATGGCCAGAGTAAAGTCCTTGCCACAATTTTCCTTCTTTCCTTGAATATGTAAGTTCACTATTATTATTTTATTTTATTAATACTTTTATTGTCATTATTATTCCCATCATCCACATTTTATTACCACTCTATTACTGTTTATTAATAACATTGCTTTTTCATACATATTTTATACAAAAACACTTTCCACTAGTTCCTGTCCATTTTACACGAGCTTATTGATTATTCATTATCACACACTTATAAAGTCATGCCAACTTCTGTCTCCTTTCTAACTTACAATTAGTCATCCTTTCTTACACCTTACATTATGTAATACAATTTTCCAAGGACAAAAAATTTACCAGTATCTGATTGGTCTAAAGATTTCTTCGTTAATTATAATCACGATTGTTCAGCTGATGAAAATGAATCGTCAAAAAGAAAAATTTCTTCGCTGTTTGTGCCTTTTTCTTATGACTCAATATGGGAATATTTCGTTCATTGAAGAACTTCATATTTGTCAAGTGGACACTTAAAATGCCACCTTACTTCTCATTTAACATAATTCTTTCCCACTGTTATCAATTATTCTAGATTTAGCTTAACTGTCATGTGCCGAATGACCTAACTGACCTTTGAACTGCTGATTTAACCTATGACATTTACACAAGGGTCATAAAGTTACTATATCAATAGAAAGACACCACCGTCTAAAATTAAAAAAACAAAACGATAATAATAATAATACGGAAGTACACCCTACTTATACTCAGTATTTTATTAAATACAATTTTTATAAAAAACAAAGTTTCGTTTCCAATGACAACAATGATGAAGTGTTGACATTATAATAAACACAATAATAATGTAGAACATGAACAGATGATAAACACTGGGAAGGAAACAAAACGAGATGCATGCACGCCAATAATAACAATGTGATGACGTAATACACAAACGCGGAAAATATGAGAATAGAATCCCACTAGTAGGGTTAACAAAAACAATAATATAAGTCATGAATATTAGTATTATTATTATTATTTTTGTTTTAAAAACAAATTAGATAAATAAACATCAACAAGATAATAAAAGGAAAGATCATTTAGCAAAACAGAAAAATAATCATATTAGTGTGAATGAACAAATAAATGTGAAAGAACGAATGGATACTTTGAGTGTGAGAAGTGAAGGTGTGAACACAATGCATAGAAAATTTAAAAACAAAAACAATATAACACATTTCTATTTTTGGAATGAGAATGAACTGGGATGAATTCCGAGGAGAGGGAAAGTCAAAATATACATAGAAATAATAACACAGAGAAAAGGAAAAGGATGTATGAACGGCGAAGAAGACTAGGATATATATATATATATATATTATGAATGAAGAGCATTGGGATTACCGGTTATCAGGATATACAGTTGTATGAAGTAGTGTAGCATTGATCACTTCACAATCCAATTGTAGCATACTTAGCGTAGACGCTGACACATTCTCATAATCATAATCATCATCATTATTATTAGCATTACTGCTACTATTGTGTGATCCTAAAATGGAGGGAAAATATATTACACGAAAAAAAATCAATAATACATTGGAATTGTTGGATTAATTATCATTTAACAATAGAATAAAATGTATCACAGCTGGGACAGTTCATGTATAATTAGTATTTCGCACAGAAAATATTTTTACTACTAACCAGCTAATAAGTAGTTAGAACAATAATTTAGGTATGTATTTTCCAGACAACTGAACCTTGCTTTGAATTTTTTAATGTCACGGCAAAAAATTAGACAGATTTATCCATGTAATTAGCAAAAGGAAGTTTCGTCTCTCTTTATTCCATATAAAGAGATTAACATATAACACAACCATGACGTATGTCTGCTACCAGTGTGTTCATATTTGCATGACTTATAAATTTATGGATATTCGTGGAACGATTGCGTCCACTCAGAGTATGCGGATGTTAGCCATCTAAGCGAAGACTATCAAAATGCAGAGTCTTACGAACACTTCCAGCAAAAGTCCTAACATATTTTACATGAGTTTCACTTCTGTTAAATGTAAGATGCAGGATTGGTCTTCACAGACTCCCGCGTTTAAAGATGATAAAGAGTGAAGTGGTTGAGCGTAGAGACTACTGCCCCTATTTTTGGAAGTCACATCAATCTTAGTAGACTGATTTGAGATGAAATACAAGTCTATGGTAAAAAGGGGTTCATGTGGTATTTGTCAACTTATTACATCAATGCTTGCGCAGATGTGCTATTCGGCTATCGATCAAACGATGTGTGTATTGTATAGCAGTACACTTTATCCTTTTTTATGACTGTGAGATATATCCACTGAAAGTGGAAGATATGAAAAGCGCTGACCATTTTTCATCACAGATCTTTGAGTTATAACCCCTCTGGTGTAACATGTTCATTATTAATGAGGTTAGGCGTAGAGTGTTCGGTAAGCAGTGGAAGTCAATCAGTGAGGTTTTAATGTTACATCGACTGAGACGGCTAATACATATGTTGAGCATACTGAGCCATCACATTCGTTGATGAGGGATTTGTTGGATGACATGAGACTAGATTGGAAAAAATTTAGGGGTGTGTGACAGCTGATGATACTAACCAGTTTCTCAGGTGGAGGTAAGTGGAGAGAGATACGAACTCGGGATTTACTGAGTGATGTATCCACAACGAATCCATTACAATCAACGAGTTAACAAAGAAGAAGAAGAAGAATCATAAGGGTGAACAAAACTGATAATGCTAGTAAAACGCGAGTGGTTAAATAAAAAAGCCTAACAAACAAATATTTTCTATGATTATGCTAAAAGTATATTAGGGTAGAACTCTGGTAGGAAATCAACAAGGAACCGATAATACAACAAATATGCCGAAGGAAATGGAAATGGATCGGACACACGCTAGGTAGACCGTTAAGTGGCATCAGGCCGTCGAGTAGGTGTCTGAATGCAAATCAGGTAATGAGTTGGGCATTAGTCTGATAGTGACATGGAAGAGATCTTGTGAGGAGGAAATGAGAGCTTACAGACAATAGTGGAGTCAGCTAAAGGGGACTGTAGAGAACACGACGAAATGGACATGTGCTGCTCAACTCAGAACACGAGGGAATAATAGTAATAACATTTACAATAATCATTACACACGAAGAAAAAGGCACAACTGTACAAAAACAGAAACAAACCTATTTTCAATCTTAATGTTGTGCTTTTATAAAAAAAAGAAAAGGAGGAATAAGTGGGAAAAAAGAAAAACATGCATGAAACCAGCAACCACCACCAGAGAGAGGGAAACAATGAAGTCAATGGGAAACGCCTACACTATGTACGTTTATAAAAAGCAACTTATTTTCCGAAATTATTCATGATCAATCAAAAAAATAAGTAAAACATAAATTATGATAGGCACAAGTGGTGATAAATAATGTATACATAATATAGAAACAATGTGCCAGTAAGCACTAACACATATATATTACAAATTATACGCATACAATTTATGCGATTACTTCTCTTTAAAAAACTCGGTAAAAAAAATAATAAGTACAAAAACAAGTCTATTTAGGTTTGTTATGCACACTGACTGACTGACAGATTGAGTTTCACCATGGAACTTTGCACAGAAGTGCAGGCGTTCAAGTCGCCATACTTCATGTAGGTACACGAAGATAGGGGAAAGAGAAAAAAGAAAGATTCTAAATAAACAATAATCAGCAAAACTGTACGGGTGGTGAAATAATCGCATGGAAATTACACGATAGAATGCATCTGCACAATTGAGAACGACTTTGAACCATATAATCAATAATCTCCAGCCATTGATTCTCACCACCCGGAGGATTCCAACCAGGTGACCTATACTTCTGTACGTGGCTAACTCAAACCAACTGCTATAAACTTCATGGATTGATGCCAGGTCTGTGTTTGAGTATTTTTTAACTTTTTTTACAACTTAATCTTATGTCGGCTAACATTGCTTACCGAGAAAGAGGGTAGATTGGCATGCGCAGTATGTGGTCTGTTCACCTCAATCGACTCACCTGCACACACTTATACATCAAGTTACTCTCCAAACTTAACGCTCTACGCCTAACCTAGATATTACTCAGTATATCGTACCAGCTAACACGGGAGATAGAAAGCAAAAGCATATGCGGTCAAAGCCATCTAGCCTTTACATATCTTCTCCTTTCAATGGTCATGAGCCTTAGAGCCCCAAAAAAAGGACCAAGTAAATTCCCTTCATAATAGAATTATACTCTACCAGTACCCAAGTTATATTCTTAGACCGAGTAGATTGATAAGCAATACACACGTCATTTAATCGATGGTCGGAGTCATATCTATGCCAGGGATGACGTAATTTGGAAAATACCACGCGACCCGTCTGTATCCATACTGAGATTTCGTCACCAATCAATTCACTGGGATCGAAACAACTTCCCAAACAAGTGAAGTAAGTGCTCAACACTCTCTACCAATTCACCTCCAGCCTTTACGATATGAGACGGTACTGCCAAGTCCCACAGTATCACCACCTTACACGATGTTATACGATGTTATACGCAAGTTCACTCCTTGTTTACTTTTAATCTCCATGTCCTTAGTTTAAGGTTAAACACGTGAAGCATATTTACAATATGAAATGTGGGTTTTTCTTTAAAAAAAAAACACTAAAATGTGAAAAACTATAAGTGATAGAGACAAAGTGCAACTGAAAAATAAAACGAAACTGTCATTTCTTCGAAAACAATAAAAACAAAAAAGTTTAGTAGGAGGGTGCTTTATCTTTTTAAGATTCACTTTTATCCTTTGCATTTCGAGTGGAATATTGGGTTTCAAGTTTGAGCTTTAAAATTTCAGCAACAGTGGTTTTTATTTTCTACATAGTGGGATAGCTAAGCCGCACATCCAATCTTCCTTTCTCCCTTTTACCGAGCTTAATACCGACTAAGCAAGATTAACGTGTGTCGGCCGAGAATCGAACCCTGGACCACGACGTTCGTGGTTGACGAGCACCCTACCACACTCAACCAGCAGTAGGTGATAGGCAACACAAAACAAAGCATCGAAAAAGGGAGCGACTTGGATAAACGGATGAAACCGAAAAGATATATACATATATAATAATGGTAGACTGACTGACTGACTTACCGTTGATTACTCGATGAGCAGGTAGTAAGAATGTCATTTTTTGTCTCATATTCGCAGGCAGTGGATCAATCGAAGGAAGTAGAAAATGATCCCGATTTAAGAAAACAATATACGCTGTATCATTACGACGATCGACTACACTGAACAAATTTTCAAACGCTCGAACAGCAGGATGAACATAAGGCTTTAAGTAAATACAAACAAAAAATAATAACAAAAATACACTTTAGATTAAAGTATACTATAAAGTTTCTAGTGAATGAATGCATAAGCGAAAACATATTTCACGAGCCCATCATCTTCATAAACATTTGGAAGTATTATAAATAAGAAGACATACACGTTTGAATTTCCGTCATCCAATAATAATGTGATAAATAAAATAGTGCGGAATAATTACAAGTTAGATCACGAACTGAAATCACAGCTAGAGAACAACTGAAACCAAAACGATTACCGGAAAGCTATTTCGTCCTTATCAGACACTCTTCATCAGTGTCCACACATAACCACCCGTCCCCTAGGGGGATCGAACCTAGGACCCTCAGCTTACAAGGCAAAGTCCGCTGATCATTCAACCACTGGGGAGGAATCTAATGGCCAATGAATTCGAACTTATTTCTATTGCGATATAAGTGGAGCAACCAACTGCCATCTCAAGTCATCCTCACACACACGCTCACAACTTGGTGGACTCCACTGGTTACCGTTTCTCACCTCCAGGAACTCCAGGCAACTTCATCCTGTAGTCAGTTACTAGAGATTTTCAAATGTTAGTTTTGGGGAGAAAGTGTGGGAAAACCGAAAACTCAAATATTTAAACAATATCTGAATATTATAATGTTCATTATACGGAATATGATCACTAAATTTACTGTAAAATGTATCCTATAGAAGAATGAGGACCTACTTGTTTTCAGTTATGTTAAGTGAGAGCTCACTTTTTAGAAATAAAGAAAGGACATTTATTTACCGGGCTTATTACTGGCTTAGCGAGGTTTACGGGTGTCGCCCGGGAATCGAATCCCGGACTCAACAGATAGTCTAATAATAGAAAAGAATTGTAGCTCAGGTGGATGATTTGAAATTAGTTGTTTTCTCTGCGGTGGTTTGTTTAATTGAGGAGCTTTCGTCGTCCTTCTGGACAGCATCTACAGCACAAGTTTTAGCATAAAATGAAATGATTTAAATTCTCCATTAATGATAGAATCGCGTCTCCTAGCAAACCATCTTCGTGACTGACAGTTTGTGTGTTAATCGCATATTCGCTTGAGTGCCAGGCTTCTAAGAATTCTCTGGCACTTTTATTGTTTTCTCTGTTTAAGAAATTTCGACATTATCATTCATGGAGAATTTAAATCAGTTTTATTTTATGCTAAAACTTGCACTGAAGATGTTGTCCAGAAGGACGACGAAAGCTCCGCAATTAAACCAACTAACCAGCTCAGAGAACACAAGTAATTGCAGCAGATAGTCTACACTAATTATCTAAGATCAAACTGCCGTAAAATTGTCAGACAATAAAGACAAGAAGGATGAATAAAGCATCAAACAATATGGACGAATCATAATTTGAATTATAAAAATGTAAATAATTGTTTTTTTTTAACTGAATCCTTTTTTCATGTCAACAAAACAACCAATTCATCAATATGAACAACAGAAATACACACACAGCAGCAACAACAGCAGAGTAGAAAGAAAAGGACGCTGACAAGATGAAGAAAACTGCATTCATCAACTACCTCTATCTGTCTATCATATGAAGTAGCACTTTTTTTGAAAAGAAGACACAAATATAATTACCAAAATGAAAAAGAAGGTACCATGGTGATAACGATTACAAAGAATAATAATAATAATAAAAACATACAAAAACAATAAACAATATGCCTGAATACAATGTATTGTGTGCCACGCCTAAAATAAACTTTTCCAATATGTAAGACATTAAATGAATGCGTATTGTCATGAAAGTTGATCAAAACACTAAAAAGGGTCAGTGAAAATGAGAAAATGTTAGGCGTGATGCCTATTCACGCTTTGTATACATGATGCTGATAAAATATAGTAAGTAGCACTTCAAGCCTAATCAGTCGTTTAACTGAGATGATATACAGCAACAAATAAATAAATAAATAATAGATGAGGTCATATGACATAATAGAGTCTAACAAAACTCTTATCAAGCCACTAGACAAACTTGATGAATTTAACTAAGATGCCAAGATTTTGTAGTTTCTATTATTTCACACACACATATTGCCTATCACTGGAATCGATATTTTGACATCTGTCCAGTCACAAGTTGCTATCGGTAAACCCAGATACTTTCAAATAAATACGGTAACAGTTTTATAGATTGGATTGACTACAGTGGCATGAAAAGCGTTAAATGTCCAATAATAATAATAATAATCACTTCATTCTGAGCAACAGCTTCTCATACAGAATGGGATTTCTATCGTTCTACCTACAGTACCAATGTTGGCGATAATTTCTTCTTTTATTCACACATTAAAAGGTGGATTTATGAGCTCTTTTCTGATATAGTTGAATTCTTTTAGTTATTAACCGTACAAGCATTAATTCTTATGAAATTTTCTCTGTTTTTACTCCAAACAGATACAAGATGAAAGTTGTGAATAAAAAAGATGTTCAGTATCAGATTAAATAAATACAGCTAGTGGCACAGCTAGCAGCAATTAAAATACCTATCAATAACAATAACAGTTAGTTTTGGTCAAAAGCACACAACCAACGCTACTTACATCTTTCAAAGTCCTACGTAATAATATAAGTTGGTCGTTTTTGAGAAGTCCAGGGTAGAATACGGAGGAACAATAAAGAAGAATGAGTAAAATAAATGAATTAATAAATTGTAAGAGGAAGAGGTTAAGTTATGCCACAAAGTCTCAACTTCCTTATGTAGTAGGTCAAACAAAAGATTTTTTCTAGAAATCGATATGATATAAGACCACCAACAAAGGTTGAAAGCGAAAGTGATACTAAGATAGGTAATATTCGACTTATTTGTTACCATAGTGTGCCATCGACATTACAAGAATCATGGGATTGAACAAGCCCACGCAAGTCTTGTTCACGTATAAATCCAAAATAAACAGGCTGACATTCAGAGAGGTTCAATTTGAGGTCATCAGTTAATCCCAGATAAAAAAACTATTCTTATCAGAATAATGTGATGTAGAAACAACTGGGGCAGAAATTTTCAGATCATTAGCATATTTAATGAAATTAGCTTCAGAAAAAGAATACAGTAAATCATGCAAAAGGGAAGAAAAAAGAAATGGGGAAAGCTCAACAGGTTGAGGTGCACCAGCTTTAGAAAACAAAGAAGCAGAGCACATCCCATTAAAAATGGTGTGTTTTCTCCTACCTGGAAAAATAGGATGACAACCACCTTGTGATTTATTACCAGGGTATTATCGCTTTGAATATGCAGATGATATAGTCCTTCTAGATGAAGACGGTGACAAAATATAGTCTTGTGTGTTAAGTGGTATAATAAGGTGAGTAATATTCAGGTAAGGCATCGGTCAAGCGCTAGGTAAGTGGGAGGGAAAATCAATCGATGAAGCTATGAAGTTACACCGATTTAGACGGATGGTTAGGACATGTGTTACGCATGCTAGCCTAGCCATCGCCTCCCTCGACGGGCAATGTGAGCTGACATAAGGTCAGGCTAGAAAAGAGATGGTGGTAGTCAAACCAAAACATGGCTGCATCAGTCAATGAAATCCACAACAGTTATTTTGAGCCAGCCACGTGGGGAGGTGCAGAGTTTCTGGTTGGGGTCCCTTAGATGGTAAACACTGATCGCTGCAGACAATAGGTGACATGGCTCAAAATCGTTCTCAATGGCCGGCGCAGATGCATCCCCTCCTTGTGATTTATAATACACAATAAAACCATATTGTTCTTTCATATTAGAATTCCTTTTGACTTATATATCTGTTTATTATCTCACTTTTGAATCTCTTTTTACTTTCTTCTCTTGTTTTGTGTGCTACATGGAGTGTGGCAACTGCAACTGCTGCATATGTGTGCAAAGTTCTACGTTGAAACCAATCAGTCAGTGTGTAACCACCCACGGCTCAGTACGTACTGAAGTTAGCTTGCTTAGTAAAAGTGCCCCCTCCCCCGGGGATAGAATTAAAAGCAGCAGTGTAGTCTAAGAAGGCAAATCGAAAAAACTGTCCACCGTTACCTATACTCGAAACAAAATTATGCTGGAGTACAATAGTGGCATCTAAATTTCTTCTATTGTATTTATCAGTAAATTGTCTGCCTGGGTTCACTGAAAGATTTTAAAGAAGGTCTAAGAACAAGCAAGAGAAGTTTTTCTATAGTTTTTTTTTATAAATGGAGACACAATAGAGATTGGCTTAAACCATAAACCTGATCCGGAGGATGATAATTTCTGTACAGGTATAGTCTTTAGGGTCTAAACTTTCTGATTGATTTAAAGATCTGAGACATATTTCAACGTATCCTTTTTACCAAAACCTGGAAAGTAATCATTCATGTCACTAGACGCATCAAGTACAACCGGAAAAGATCGATTTAAGGCGTGTACACATCAGAACAGGCATCATAATAGAAATTTGGTTTTAGTTTGTTGTTGTTTTTTATGGCTTGTAAGTTGATTAAATATAGTATGCAGATATTGTTGGAAGCATTTTTTTCCTTATACATTCTACTTAGTCAGTCTTTGTATTATTGAGACTTATAGGTCATTCTTCAAAGTAGTGTTGTATGTTTTTTAACTGCGCACAAAAAGAAGAAACAAAAACAACAAAAAAATGAGAACGAGCAAAACTGATGAGCATATATATGTCATACAACAATAAACTTTTCACAAATTCATTGAACCGTTTTGTCTGTTATGGCTTATAGAGAAGAGAGAGAGAGAGGAGAAACATCAACTCCACGGGTTTGAGTTGAAGCATATTAAAATTGATTATTGAAGACATGAAAAGAATAATAATGTCATGTAGACTATACTATGGCACAAATGGTTTTTTTCTTTCTTTCTTTTTTCTTTCGTGGGGCGGTTATACAACGAAGGTTGTTTTTTTTTATTTCTGCTTTTTAGAGAAGCTTTCCAATTCAAATTGTAAATTGTTATCTGTTCTCCGTTGATGGACTGATATAACATACACA